CTACATGACAATATTCAGATATAGTGATAGCGCCACCTACTGGCAACAGGAAGTAAGCGCTGCATAGCGACTTTGATCTGATTTACGTGACATTTTCATGTTTTGATCTAAACGTGTTACGACGGCACGTGACGTGGCTGCAGCACGTGACGCGGCCGCAGCACGCCCCAAGTTGCGTGGGGTGCGAGGGCCAGTTCATCACTGCTTGCAGCTTTACTTTTCCATTGTTATTTATAGCTATCAAAATTGTGCCCATTATAATTTCTCCGATCCGAAACTAGCATCCTGAAATTCCTTGTAAAATGTAATTCCTTCTTGTAAAATTGTATCACTGTATCAGTCCAAAATCTATGTCTGGAATTTTAAGGTTGAAAAATGACTTACATTATTATTGGACTATCAAATTAGTTGCCATTTTTGATTCATTTTCTGTAATTGGACTGATTATTTACTCAACAGATTGTTAAAGCTCTATATTTGATCCATATAGTGCACCCCTAACCTGTTCAAGTTTATTTCCTCCTTCATTTGAGGCTGACAATATCTGTTAATGACTTTATGACACGAGTAAACAACCTGTATGATCATTTTGCATCATGAAGGGAAAGGAAATGTCACTTCAGTCTGACAATCAGGGAACAGTAAGCTCCTATATCATTTCCCTGTTTCAAACACAGGTTTTATGAATGAATCTTGCATTCAAACAGTGGCAGGAAGTAAACCACATCTGTTTCCATAGCAACGCCAGCACCGCTACGGCTAATTGCTAAATGTGATCATAGCCTATGAGCTCTGTTTGAGTCTTTTATCAGACGTCTCTCTTCTTATCTGCTCACTTACACATTTATCACCACAATACAGAAATGTGTCCGTTAGCATTAGTCTGAAACACAGAATCAGAGATACACACACACACACACACACACACACACACACAAATACAACAACCAACAGCAGGGGAGCTAGCGTTAATTGACAACACTCAGGACACCAATCTCATTATTCATTGTTTTTTTGTTTTTTTTATTAATTGTGGCTAGAATCGTTACATTTTAACCAGAAAATGATGATTTCCCATGACAGAAAATATTTAATTGTCTCTGAAGGCAACCCAGTCAGTATTACATGAGTAGAAAACAGGTGTGGCAGTGACAGGACACCATAGTGTTGTTATTGTTTGATGATGGGGGACGGTGAGGCATATTCATCCAACAATATCCTCCAAAACAGTTCCGAACAAAGCCGGGCTGTTGATGAATACATACTGAAAACAAACAATACTGACCTTGTACTGACAGACACTTTAACGTGGCCTGCCGGCTTCCCCCTTCCCCCTTTTTTATTCGGTTAAAAGATGGCGCTTGCCAATGTCTAGATATGTAACGTTAAGAATCGAATGTAAGTCACACACCGCGAGGAGAACGTTGAGCAGCGGTTCTAATACAGGCACAGATGGTCGCCGGAGGGAAACACAATGTGTATATTAATTTAAACCGGCATTAAAATGTGAGGCTGCAGGTAGGTTTTAAATACAGGACCAGTCTTACCTTGAGGGACGTCTGTTTGGGGGTGTTTTCTGAAGTTTCCCGGGTCGCCCGTTACACTGGAACGTTGATGCAGTTCCAGCGTTCTTAGTTTGGAAACTGGTGGATTCTATATGACGTAACGAGGCACGACGGATGTGGGTCGCCTAGAAACAGAAGGCGAGGGGGGGGAGGGGGCGGAGCTTTCCTAACCACATTTCCCAGCATCCAACAGTGTGGTCCTTTTCACTTTACACGGGAAATTACCACAAGCAAATACAGAGTACAAAAGCTCCTCTTGTGGGCAGCACTTAGTGAATAATAGAACTAGTGTAACCCCATTTGTACTGTACTCTTATTTACAAGAATGAGGTACTTGACATTTAATCCATTCATATTACAGATCTTAAAAGGACACAATATACTTTTAACTCCACTACCTAAGTTTACATATGACATTTTTAATATGATGCAAGGTTTAGATTCAATAATTAATATTAAACATCAATAATATCTGATATCTGATCTGAATAATACTTCTGGTGGTTAAACTAGATGTTGCAGATGCAAGATGTTTACTTGTTACATCCTCTTTATTCTGGTGTTATGGAATTTGCTACTTTGCTATGTGAAAACTTCTTCCTACACTGAAAGGCAACATTCTCACATAAATGATGATAAAACAGCGTTCAACCATGCCGTATTTGTCTGCCTATTTATTAAAAATGTTGGTTTAAATAAGTCAGTCACTTTTTTTTGTTGTTGTTGTTTATCTGTTGACATATTTGAAGTGTGTTTTTTAGGTCGTATGTTAGCTGTTATCATACCAGAGGTGACAGTCAAAACCACCAGATACTAATGTTAACAGTCCCAAGAACTCAGTTCTGTAAGGGCCACAGATTTGAAACTTTACTGGACCCAAGATCAGTTTCTATTTTTTCATGTTGTAACCCAGATGACAAAAACTCAAATTCTTGCATTATGGAATATTGGATATATAAATTTTAAATAAACTTAAATAGCAGATTGTTGTTTTATAGAAGCAGTGATCCACAGCAAAGAGAATCATCAATATTACATTTCAGCATAACTTACAACTGTCTAATTACACAAAATGCCAGATTCATTCATTTTTAATGTTGATTGTAAAAGGTGATATGATGGAGACAAAGGGATACCTCTTAGCCACTTGCAGTTAAATTCAAAAGCTCTCTCAGTTGATCGTTGGCAGCATTGTGTTTTAGTGGTAAGGTAAGAGTGCTTAGAGTTTTAATAGGGTCAGCTGAGCTCTGGCAGAAGAAATAAGCAGGATATTGAGGGTGCTTTTAAGAACCTGAACAGAAAGATCAGTGCATTGATACATTCTTGAACACTGATGACGCCACCTGCTGGACATTGAAAGTCTAAAAATCTTCTGTGATTAATAAATTTTTTTTAACCTATAACCACCAATCTCTTTTAAAATAAAGTCATCATAGAGTAACAAACCTAATTGAGTTAAACCAAAGACGCCACTAATTAATGAGCTATATACTGTGGCTATAGTGACTTCCTTATAGTAATAATGTTACATTTTCATACAAATATATTGTTTTACTACCAACACAACACAATAGTGATATTTTCACAGAAAAATACAACTAACCTAATTGGATTTCACTTTCATTTTATAGTTCATTTACATTTCATGTTAATTCTAGTTTTGTATCACCTTTGAAACACTAATTTTCCAAGGTTAAGTGTTTCATTAAAAATATAATGCAGAAAATAATTAACTGGACAGCAGAACAACTTTCTAACTGAAAGAAACCAACCTGCAGAACTCTAACCTAGGCACAGATCTACCAAAACATCTGACATCGGTAGGTAGTAATAGATTGGGACAGTGAGCAACACCGCAGCATGGAGCTCCTAAAATCCGCTGATACTCAATAAACAAAATGTATTCGGGCAAAAAAGGTAGGATGTAGACAGTCTGTCCACAGTGCACTTTACACTTGTTTTGAAAAATCTTAAAATCCACAAACAAATCTTAATCCAATCTCAACAACCACAGACTCATATGATAATCTTTCTCTTTAAGAAACCCCAGAGGAAAAACAGCAAATATTAAAAATATATAAAAAACATTTTACTGTCATCATCAACGGTTTGTTGTTCATCAAAGTGGAGCCGATTTTAGATACTCTTCATACTCTTGGGTAGACAAGCAGCACAGTAATACATTGTATCATATATCTTTTTTATGCAAAATGTAACTATAAGTGTCAAATAAATGTAGTGCAATAAAATATTTCCCTGTGAAATTTAGTGGAGTAGATATATAATGTAGCTTAAAATTAAATACTCAAGTACATTAATTTATTCAAAATAAGTAATTTATGGATTATTAGGACAATAACATGCATACTTCAGCCTTCAATTTAATGAAATATATGAACTGATAATTACATTAAATTTAATGAAATTATAATCCATTACAAATGTAGGTACTATAAGGAATGTTGATGTAAGATGATGTAAGATGTAAAACCTCTGTCTAAAGTCTATATTATTCAATATAATACTCACTCTTTTCCTGAAAATGTCAACCATATGTCATTAGGATTCATCCTCTGGGGACCATGAATTGAGTTGCTAATGAAGGCCTCAGTGCAGCAGCATTAGCATGTTGCTATTCAGTAGCATCACTATAGTACTGGTGACCACAGCTAAAAGCCCCTGTGGGCCCATCTGCAGTCCCTGTGCCCCATTGCTAGGTTTGGGTTCTTTCTTTTTCTTTAAGTACTTTTCAGAGTAAACCATGT